TATATATATACACGTATTTGTATATGACTGTCTGATATACACTCTATTCACAGTTGTATTAAGTTGTAAACGGTTTCCTTACACTGAAATTCATTTTACTGTTTCTGCAGAGCGCTTTATTCCCCCCACTTTTCAGAACTTGCACTTTTAGATGTATATAGATATATATAAATACAATATACGATTATTGAATTGTGCTTTATTTTAACATTGAAACAGCATAACAAGTGAAGAGCCAACAAAATTGAATAGATGATTTGTTATTGTTAAGAACTCAACCACGACATGAACTCTAAGTTTAGTTTTAGTTTATCAAAATGCAGATGTTATACCTATATATATTTTCATATGTATTGATATTTCTAAGTTTTTTTGTAGCGCTCGCCAAAGGCTTAAATCAATATACATACATACATATATACATTTTTTGTTTAAATCTATGATATATGAGATATGCATTAAATTATGTATGGATTAACTAAGAGAGCGTAGTCCCTAATTTGCCCACTTAATTTAGCTCTAGCATATTATAACTATTATATTACAATAACAATATGAAAATCAAATATCAATCTATATATATATTTATTTTTAAATAAATAAATTCTTGAAACCCACACTATGTATATCTTAATATTCATTTGAGCTGAGACATAGCTGAATTCCTTTAAGTAAGTCTCGTTTAACAACGGAAGCAAACTAAGTACACGAAAATCGAACTGCTTAGACATCAAATAATTATTTTAACAATTTTTAATGTAGTTAAATCTATGTTAAGTGTACGTGTGTATATATATATATTTGTATATAGTATATACATATATGATTGTTCAGTATGCGGCGAGCCTGTTTGCAAGAGCTTTGATCAAGCCTTAAGGTAAGTTAGTTGGGCACAATTCTAGATGACACACTGCTTTAGTTATTTACATTTATCTAGTTAAGTAACTCTGTTTTATTAAAAAAAAAAAAAGAAAATCTATCACTTTTATGCAGCATTTCTAAAAGAATCACCAAAATATTTCTTTTCCGAAAAAAAAGCACTGCTGGATTTAGAGAAGGCAACACAGCTCGAACACAATCGTTTTAGATCGCTGAAGGTAAGTTATTATAATTTTATTTGATTTGTATTATGACTTCTATTGACTTACGGCACTGTATATAGAGTGCTTCTGAATAGAGTATACTTATTTATATTTCGTGAACTCTGAATAAAATCTAAAACATATTTGAGTAAGAAAAATCTGTGTTGTTATTGCACCGAACATGTTGGCAGCCAACAAGTTTGGCCAGCTTAGTGATATGCGGACATTTAATGCACGATCCATAATCGCCTCGTACCCCAACATCTCAGCCCCAATCAACAGTCAGTCGTGTGCTGTCGACGCATTCGGACATACGAATTCATCAAATCGTACAGGAATTCTAATTACAAATTAATATTGTAAGTATATATAGTATATATATGAAATGATATAAGAAAACAGTTGCAGAAGATAATGTGAACCCTTTACGTATATTAAAATATGTGATTGATCGAGAGTTTTGAAATTCGAGTGATGTCGGCTTTTCGCGTGCCTCAGCTGGAAATTGTATTCTGATATTCAAGTTCACAGTAAAAGTTAATTGAACTCAATTCTCTGGCGAAATATTGGCAATTGATTGCATTGAATTGCTCAAAAGTTTTTAGTTTTTTAACCATTCCAAGGTTTAGAGCGCCCCATAGAAGTGTCGTAATCCAAGTGCAGTTCCGCAAATTCCATTCAATTGCTACACTTGAAGAAATTTGCATTGATTTTCCTTCCCATTAGGAACTTGCCAACTGAGAGGATTCAATTATTTAATACCTAACTGGAAAGTGTTTGTTTAGTTGGCCCAAGTCGTTGGCCTAGTTGATTTTCGCTCAGTGTAGCTTCTGATTACAATGAGCATGGATTGCTGGATTCCACACGAGCATCACAATATCTGCGGATATATGCGATGCATCACGTCATTCTTTGTCGGTTTTCGTTATAATTAAACTGCATCGTTTCACAAGCACAAACACACACACATACACACGCACACACTCTCGCACCCATACATTTAAGCATGCAGCAGCAACTGAAATATTCCTGGAAAACGCTTGCATTGCCCAGATGCATCTAAATATGCTCAAGTGTGTGTGTGTGTATAGATATGCATGCATATATATTTATGAATTGACTGTGTATATGGGAATTGTGTGTGGCACATTTGAAAGATTCAGGCATTGCGCGTTTTGCTTTGCTCAAAAGGCGGCGATTAAGCAAATCTCGAGTACCAAAACGGAAGCTCTGGCCAGAGATAAGCCACAGAGCAAGCTCCACATTTGTCATTGTCGTTATGAGCGCACATATAATATATATGTATATGTATGTATATATACTAATTTTCATATTACTGTTATATAAAGTTTAGTTGACATATTAAAATATTGCTTCAGCACAAAACTATTGACCCATAATTTTTTTGTTACCCCAGCATCGAGGTCAAGTCTAATCGGAGCACACACACACACATACACTATTCACACATATACTATACTACAGCCAGAGAAAGAGAGAGAGATAGATTTGCAGATAGTCATTTTGTATATAGAAATGATTTCAGAATTCCGTTCACAAACAATTTTCAAATGCTCAGAACTGTGGCACATGTGTTCAACATGCCCTGGAAATTGTTTTTTTTTTTTTTTTCTATAAAGTCTTGGCAATTCCTGTGCGAATTTTGCGAGTGTTCCATTAGAGTTGCTTGACTATGAGCGTATAGATGTTCATATTGGGCATAAATTTAGTATGAGCTTCAAAAATCACATAGCTAAATTGACTTCCATTAGAATTACAATGATATGCTCTATAATTGCATATTTTGCTGTTCTTTACGATCCGATTTTTTTTTTATAAGACTTTCAAAATTGTATATTTAACAGCTTTTCTATTATATTATTTTTAAATATATAAATAAAAGCATATTTATATAGTCTGATATAATACTTTTTTCTAAAATACTTTTGATAGACTTTTTAAAGCCCAGTTTACATAAATAATAAAAAAGATTTTTTGGTTGTTTACTTTTCGATGGATATAAGATATACATATACCGAAAGTTCCTATTAAACTTGTATTTCCTAACAGCCTATGCTCTATAATTGCATATTATTCTGTGTTTTTGAAGCCACATCCTCGTTTTTCACATTGCTAATTGAGCGACTTCCATAGAGAAAGCATAAAAAAAAAAAAAAATACAATATGATTTTGTGCTGGAAGTACTTATATTGCAGCGCATATAATTTATAGCTTATTTTGCTTTGTAATTCTTAGCAGTTTCTAACAATGAAAGTCTTTTGTTTCCATCGAATTCCGGCACTTCCTTCTGTTTGACCTTTTCACACGCACACACACATGTGTATATATGTGCATGCACATATACCACTATACATGTTATAAAATGTCTTCGAAGCCACGCCAATGCAAAAAGGGGGTTGCTTACCGTTACAGCGCGTACCGTTACAACAGCAGCAGCAGCAGGAGTACAGTCACAGAAATATCAGAAATTTTCTTATTGGCGCTAAATTCCAAAATGGAATTTAGCTGCGTTTGACAATAAAGCCTCAACATAATCGCTGAGCTTCATGACCCATCGCACAGCAGATAAGATAGAAGAATAGATGAATATAATAATAAATTTGTATATATATGTATATTGCATATACCCATAATTAATATGCTTGAATTGATTTTCTTTCGGGTTGGACTCGTGGGAAGATGCGTTCTGTTTGGCTGCTGCTCTGCTTGGGGCTGCTGGCGTTGACGCTGTCACAGGTGCGCGCCGAGGACCCCATCGCCAATCTGGACTTGGAGGACATAGCTGAGTTCGATGAAGATGATGAAGAGTATCTGACGCTGCTGGAGGAGAAGTCCAAGGTCTGTACTGCTTCACTTCACTAGAAATAGAGTTTTGATACTTAACCTTCTGATCTTAGAACAAAGATGTGGAGCGTGAGAATGAGCTGGCCCAGAAATTGGCCGATGTACAGTATAATCTATTAAATCCGGTGGTCGAGGTGGATCCCTGCGAGACTATGCACTGCGGCGCAGGTCGCATCTGCCAGCTGAATGAAGGCAAGCCCGAGTGCATCTGCATTCCCGAGTGCCCAGACGAATTGGACACGCGTCGTCTTGTCTGCACCAACAAGAATGAGACCTGGCCATCTGATTGCGCTGTCTATCAGCAGCGCTGCTGGTGCGACAACAAGGATCCCGGCTGCCGTCATCCGGACAATGCACATCTCCACATCGACTACTATGGCGCCTGCCAAGAGCCGCGTGTGTGCGATGGCGAGGACTTGAAGGACTTCCCGCGTCGTATGCGCGACTGGTTGTTCAACGTGATGCGCGATCTCGCCGAGCGCGATGAGCTGACCGATCACTACATGCAAATGGAACTGGAGGCCGAGACGAACAACTCGCGTCGTTGGGCCAATGCAGCCGTGTGGAAGTGGTGCGATCTGGATGGCGATACCGATCGCTCTGTCTCCCGCCACGAGCTGTTCCCCATACGCGCCCCGTTGGTCAAGCTGGAGCATTGCATCGCACCATTCCTGGAGTCCTGCGACTCCAACAAGGACCATCGCATTACTCTGGTCGAGTGGGGCGCTTGCCTGGAACTGGATGCCGAGGACCTCAAAGAGCGCTGCGATGATGTGCAGAAAGCAGTGCCGCATTTGCTGGGTTAATCGTATCTCTGATGCCATGTCCTATGTACCATGTGTCATGGATGCCCTGTTATTTTAAATAATATAATTTTACTATTTTGTGCACAAAGTTTATTTCAACAAATAATTGTCTAATAAATGTTCCAATAACAATTTGGGCATTTCGATGTTTTTATTTTGTATTTAAAGTTTCATTAAATTTATTTGTGTAATTTACTTTGCTCTAAATTAAGTTTTGCATTTGCTTAAACCTCATTTCTCATTCAACATTGCATTTTACTTGACAATTAAGTTTACATTTGTTTTGTGAGTGTGTGTGTGTAGGCGTGTGAGTGTGTGTAAAAGTGATTGTGTGTGTATGTATGTTAAATGTTTGCTTGTGTTGCCTATTGATGATAGAAGTTGGTTTAGTTTGAAATTGTTGTAAATTAGAAATTATGCTTGGACCTTGCAGCTTCGCACAGAAATGTTACAACGCGTCAGTTAGTATTGTAATTTATTTTTAAACATAGATGTGAATTAATTGTATTCCGAAATGGTCAAAAGGTAGAATATATATATATTAATAGGCTTGCGACAGAATGACATTGCCCTTTCGCTGCGGATCCTGCACAGAGTCCTCTTTCTTGCCAATAAGCGACTTGTGTATGTGCGGAATGACGCCGCCACCGGCAATGGTTGCTTTAATCAGACTGTCGAGCTCCTCGTCTCCACGAATGGCCAGCTGCAAATGACGCGGCGTGATACGCTTCACTTTCAGATCTTTCGATGCATTGCCTGCCAATTCCAGTACCTGTAACAACAACCATAATCAATTTAATTAGGATCTTACAAAATCAGTCATTCCAATTAGAATTTTACATAACATTGCACTGTTAGGACAATATATAGCTATATATATGTATATATACTGAAAACAATTTAGCATATGTAAACAAATGCCGTTGTCACTGATCACTAATATATATGCAGTGCAATAGGCTAATCCCGTTACATATGCTAATAGCAATGGGAAAATCTAAATACAAATACAAATCTATTGGGCGCGAAAATATTACCTCGGCAGTTAGGTATTCCAAAATGGCTGCAGAGTAGACGGCAGCGGTTGCACCAACTCGTCCGTGAGATGTGGTGCGGCTCTTTAGATGGCGATGAATACGACCAACGGGAAACTATTTGGCATTATGGAACATAMAAATGGCATTAGAAGAAAAGTTCATCTCTTGTTTATGTTTTGCTACCCCCAAAGTAGCACAAGCTATTTATTTCACAGCTCTCAGCGCACCAACACAAATACACGCATATACGGTACATGGGAAACGCACCCTGTTTACAATGTGTGTGCATATATATGTATGTGTGCTGGTAAAAAAGGCGCCAAAATTTATTTGGTACAGACAACAACAGTAACTCACCTGAAGGCCCGCGCGCGCTGAGCGAGAAACCGCTTTCGCTTTGGCTTTACCAGAGTCTTTGCCCGCTTTGCCTCCAGCCTAAAGAACAGAATAGCGCACAGAATTAGTAAAACACAAATAACACGCACACAAAGAAAATCAGCTAAACAGAATAAGAAATGCGCCACACAAAATGGTGGCGGCAAAATCGACTTCACAGTAAAACTTTGAGGTTAAGTTTGAACGTTTTGCCGCCCCGCCACACAATAACACTGATTAAATTGCTCATAATTGAAATATCATTGCACACCAATAGCGAATGTCAGTGACGATTGCCAATATTCATACAACACTTTCGGTGGTAGCATTAATATTTCATCTCACTATTGGCAAGGCACGCGCAATAATATATGTCAAACGGCTTTGGCCAAGCAGATTGCGATGGGCCGCAACACTATTCTTGTTATTAATATTACCATTTTTATTTAATTGATTTTTCAGTTGTGGTTACAGTATAAAAGATTGCACAAGGCACGTAGTTTATTTGTTTATGCGTGGAATGATTGTAATAACTAGAGTCAAACTTAGTAGTTTTAGAATTTAGACGCGTCTGCACTGTAGTATAATTTTTACACGAATGAGACGCCGTCAGTGTTGCCAGTCACTCGATGGTAGCCGAATGCTATTTATGTGTCAACGTTTATAGCGAATGGCATGTAGATGTTATCGTCCACTCTTGGAACTGGTGAGCACCTATCGATAAATCAGCTCACTTGTTCTCTCGTTGTACGTTTCGCTCAGTTCCGTTGTAACAACGACATAAAAACAATATTATTTGATATTGTTTAATATACAGTTTAACAATTTATTATTACCAACACGCTCATTATGAGTTCGGGCGCTGTTCGTACACCTGTCTCCCAAATAATTCACAACAAAGATGATCAGGATGTGGATGACGAGCCCAAGAAGAAATCACGCGAAGATTGGCGAAAAGCAAAGGAGCTCGAAGAAGCTCGAAAGGCGGGTACTGCACCAGCCGCTGTCGACGAAGAGGGTCGTGATATAAATCCCCATATACCGCAATACATTTCCAATGCTCCCTGGTACTACGGTTCTCAGGGACCCACATTGAAGCATCAGCGCCCGCAGCACGAGGATGAGCGTGGCCAGTTGGATAAGAAGGCTCCCAAAGGTCTGGATACGTCCAAACTGGTAACTAAGTTTCGTAAGGGAGCCTGTGAAAATTGTGGAGCCATGACGCATAAGAAAAAAGATTGCTTGGAGAGACCGCGCAAAGTGCAGGCCAAATACGCAGAATCAATTGTGGTGCACGATGAGCATATTGTGAACGATTCCTCGATCAACTACGACGAGAAGCGCGATCGCTGGAGCTCTTATGATCCGTCTAACCATCGAGAAATTATCGAAGAGTACGAGAAAGTAGAGGAAGCTAAACGACAGCTAAAGGCAGAAAAGCTAAAGAATGGTTGGAAACATTTGGACTTAAGTGGAGGTTTTTCTAAAATGTTCTTATTATTCACAGATCCTGATGCGGAAATCTCTGGTGAAGAGGGTAATGAAGACAAATACGTCGATGAGGTGGACATGCCGGGCACAAAAGTCGACTCTAAGCAGCGTATTACAGTGCGTAATTTGCGTATCCGGGAGGATACTGCAAAATATCTGCGTAATTTGGATCCAAATTCAGCTTACTATGATCCCAAGACCCGATCTATGCGCGATAATCCCAATCCAGCAATACCTGCTGAGGAGTAAGTGAACTGGCTCTTGCATTTCTAATGTGATTGACAACTAACGAATTTATTTGATTTGTAGAGCGGAATTTGCAGGAGAGAATTTCGTGCGATTCTCTGGCGACACCACAGCGCAAGCCACTGCCCAACTGTTTGCTTGGGAGGCGCATGGCAAAGGCGTTGATGTACATTTACTTGCCGAGCCCACAAAGCTGGAGTTGCTGCAAAAGGAATACGAACAGAAAAAGGAACAGTTCAAGTCAAGTGTAGGTGAAATGTAACCAAACCTCTTCGAATCGATTCTAACACTGTTTCCCTTGCAGACAAAAACGAACATTGTGGAAAAATACGGAGGCGAAGAGCATTTGCAGGCGCCGCCAAAATCGTTGCTGCTCGCCCAGACCGAGGAATACGTAGAGTATTCACGTAGTGGCAAGGTTATAAAAGGCATTGAGAAGCCCAAAGCCCGCAGCATATACGAGGAGGATGTGTATATTAACAACCATACGACCATATGGGGTAGCTATTGGAATGCTGGCCGTTGGGGTTACAAATGTTGTAAATCTTTCATTAAGAACTCATACTGTGTGGGTATGCAAGAACCGGAAGGCTATTCGGAGCAGCAGCATACCACAACACCGAGTGCGGCATCCGTTGCAGCTCCAATTGCAGATGCTGCTCCACAAATACCGACAGAAGAGGATGTTCGGAATCAAGCAGCTGAGTCCGAAGTTGACTCTGCACACAGTACAGAAGAGTCCTCCGAGTCCGAAGAGGAGGTAAAGGAATCCAAAAAGTCTAAGAAAAAGTCAAAGAAACGCGAAAAGAAAAAGAAGGCGAAGGAGCAACGGAAAAATAAAAAGAAACACAAGGAAATGAAAGAAAAAGAGACGATTACATCCAAATCCAAATCCAAGGARATATCCGAAGAGGTTGATGATAGGAAGCGTCCATATAACAGCATGTACGATGTTAAGGCGCCCACCGAGGAGGAAATCGAAGAATGGAAGAGGAAACGCACGCGCACTGATGATCCCATGCTCCAATTTCTCTAGGCAATAGAATACAAAATACAATATAATATATGGAAAGACCGACAATTGGAAATTATCATTGTTTATTCTTTACACAATGGCGTACTGCTCATAAAGCAGTTCACGTATCTTGTAGTAATCCTCGGAGAGGCAGCCCTCCATGGCCACTTTGCCAACATCGACACGTCGCAGCGCCAGTGTGCCATTGCAGCACCAGAGGACGCCACCGGAAAATTCTGAGTTGATGTTGTTGCGCATTAGTACTTGCTTGAAATCCGACAGTTTCAGTTCGTTGATCAACACCGAATTGTGAACGGGAATTTCGTCTTCTTCGAGCATCTCTAGCGTTAGAGTTTTGCCCTCTAGCGCCGCCACATCTTGCTCCACGGTGACTTCCGATTGAGTTGGTGCATCGATAGCCTGGAGACGCATACCTAATCGCCCATCAATCCAAGCCACCTCGGCATCTTTGCCCTTCTGGAACTGTAGCTGGGAGACGAGGCCTTCTGTTAGGCGCACCTGATAGATGTGAATCTCCGTTGTTACATCGATTATTTCTCCCTTCTGGGGAGTAAACACGCGGGCACCGACATTTTGCTCGCAGTGGTTCGCCACTATTTGTGTGCCCTCCGCTGTGCCATGCACTACAATAACGCGTCGCGGGCGCAGCTGTGAGAGAATCTTGAGCATAGATTCGCCATCTGATCGTCCCTCGAAATCAATACGTTGTATTTGAGCATTGACCTCGATGGTTTTGCGTTGACTGATCAACTTGGTGGGCTTCTCCAGCAATTGAACATCGTTGTTTAGATTGCCATTGGACTGCGGCTCGACATGTGGTTCCTCCTTTTTGATATTCTCCTTGTTTTGATCGTCTGTGGGCGCATAGTCATAGCCAGTGTCTACGATGCGATAGTCATCCAAATTGATGACTTCTCCATAATCATCGTACTTGATCTTCTCTTCGTGGTAGGGGAACATCACGTGATGACGTTTATTGGACTTGAAGAAACCGGAATGATGACGCCCTTCGGACCGCACTACAATATCATGTTTGCCTGTAATCACGCTCATTTCAATGTCATCTTCAGACTCGGAGCTGCTCTCCTCCTCCACTTCCGGCTTTACAATAAGCGGATTGAGCTTTTCGCCTTGCGTTCGCAGATATTCCTCTAGTTCAGCGCCTTCAAGCTCAACGCGGCGCCGCAAGTCCAGTTCAATCTGTCGGCCAGGCGAATAATTTTCCACCAGATCCATGCTGAGTGATCCGGGACCGGTTCGTGTTGTGAAAATAATGCTATTATTTGGGTTGCCGGCCCATTGCACGAATAGGTCGCGGGTGAAGCCACTCTCCATATCAGGTGTGCTGGCCAGCACCACTTTGGGACCCGCAGGCAACTTGTAGATGTCGGCTAGCGTGTGACACAGATTGATGTGTTTGAACTGGAACGGATTGTTGCGCGCGCCTTCAAAGGCTTTCGTCAGCTTATCGCTCATCCATTCAATTTGTGACTTGGCAAACTCAATGACGTTGTAGCTCACATTGTTAAGCAGTGCCAAGGAGTATGCCATTAATCCGGACTCCTTATTCTTCCACAGTTGGTCCAGCATGTGTGCGAGTTCCAGCACACGACCCGCAGTGTCCACAGCAATGAGTACATTTCCATTATTGCGCACTGTCTGCAAAATGTTGGTCATCAATTTCTCATCGCGTGCTCGGCGTCTCGCCTGTTGATATTGTGCGTTGTATGCGTCGGTGATGAGCAGCGATGGCCTTTGCAGTCTGTCCAGCTCACACCCAGAGAGATGCCGCTCTTTCTTGTGATTGAAATCAACGGCATAGATGATATCCTCCTCGCCAACTTTCACTATCTTCCAAACGGTTCCTCCAATCATGTGCCCTGCGCTGAGCGGTGTTATGGAAATGCCATAGCCCTTGCCTTTCAATGAGACCGTTTGGTTGTACTTCAATTGTGTGATCTTTTCGAAGGCTGTGTCCACATCGTCCAATGAAAACAGATCGAAGTCGTACATATTGAAATGAGACATATACAAGTCATACATGAACATTTGCCCCATTTTAAAGACAGGAATCGTCGCGTAAATGGGACAGTTGAGGCCCAACTTGCCAACAAGATATGGCAGTGCGCCCAGGTGATACACATCTGGATGGGAGAGCAGTACGGCGTCCAGTGTATGCACTTGCCTAGGATAACAATCGTTAGACTTCTATATTGATAGATATTTACTTTTTACCTTTTTAATTCCTTTATAAAATTCGGATCAAATTTTTCGTCCCAACCGCAGTCGAGCAATATTCGCACATCGTCTATTTGTAGAATATAGCACGGCGGCGATTCATCCATGGCACCCGATATGGTGTGCAGCTTAATAATTGATGTCATTTTGCTAACTAATGCTATTTAATTTTTATAAACTAATGCATTTGTGCATTTGTTGTATATAATAATGAAACTGTACAGTGTACACCAGCCGGTTTCTTGCGTTCGATATTTAATACCGTCAACACGGTAGACCCAGCGATATTAGTATTTTTATGGGGAATTTTAATAATATACCAAAATTACATATATGATTAAATATGTAATACCGCATAACAGTGGCACACAACAAGCAAATTTAGAAAATCATATTTTTTATTTGTTTATAATATTTATGTATTATATACGAAAATAATTTTTTACAGCTGCAGTTCTTCAAATCGAACATTCTGGTTTTTCAAGCATATTCCGCTTTTGTATGCGCATCGCGAAATGTCATGTCAATATCGTAAAATTCCTCGAGCCTATTAAGATTTGAGCGCTTCAACTTTAGCCGACGGTAAACAGCTATGGAGCGACTAATAGGACGAAGTACAACTAAACAATACACTACCACAGTAACAACGATGACTGCAAATAATACCAATAGAATGACGACTGCCAGATTCTCGTTCTTAGCTGGTAGGCGATTGTGAACGATAACAGTTTTATTCGCCGGTTCGCTGGAGCAGTAGTCCGAGTCATTGATGTCGAAGTAGCCTGCAGACCAGTCCGGATTCTGATGGTATCCCTGCCAGCAGATGCACTGGAATTTTCCTTCAACCTTTGTACATATGGAATGATCAGGGCACTCTTTTTGCGATGTGCAGTTTTTAACTATTATGGAGATAATTAAAAAATCGTTCATATCAAAATATTTTTTACTGACGTCGAACTGAATGCCCTTCTTCAGCGTGCAATCCAAAAAAGTAAGCGCAGCATACAGCTAGGTAAACAGAATATTTATATACGTTGAACATTTTCTTGACATCTGTTAAGCAAATAGGGATAAGTATAAACAGCTTTATCTACGATGAATTACTGTCACAAGCTGATTGTACATATCTTATCAACTGCAGCGTTATTAAATAAAACATATGTGATCACATATAAGATATTGTAATATGTTGCGATTTTAGGTTTAGACATATATGTAGGTTTTCATTTGACTATACTAAACATTTGACTATAACGAATATATTTACAAAATATTAGAGTTTTCTAAAGCTTGATTTTGGCAACATAAACAAAAATAAATACAGATATTTAAAAAAATAGTGTTGAAAAGTGAGAGAAAATACCAAATGAACATTGCAGGTATTCACAATAGTTCATGGTTAAAAACAGCTGAGATATGCCATGTAAATATGTTGATAATCAAACTTAAAATAACGATATTTTTATTTGTTTATTGAAGTAGCCCTTTATTTGAACAGATTTATTTTTAATGCACCATAAATAACACTCTTCTTTGTAGTATATCCTTTATATCCTTTTTTTTTTTTTGAAAAGTTAACCGTAATTTGAAGCTATCGAAATGTTATTAACAGCATCAATTTTATGTTATGTTAGTGCATTTCTTATTTCATTTCTCAGTAATCCTGTATTCGTTTGTGATTAATTTCAACATATGTAATTTTCGAATCAAAATTATTCTTTAACTACAGCTATGAGCCGTAGCGTTCCATTATCGTTAATATTATAATAGTGAATAATGATTATACGTCTGTGCCAGCACAATTTTCATATATTCGACTTGCTAATATTCAGTGCCGCCTTAACCATTCTCATCTACATTCTACTGCCTCATCGATTTGCCCTGAACTATGACTACATCAAGAAGGAGCGAATGGAGGAGGCGTTCCTCGCAATCACCACGCCTAACATTTCATCTCAACAGGCGGTCGATTGCAGCTACAAGGAGACAATAGCCGACAGCAAATTCGTCTACGATGCATTCCATCGGGAGAAAATTCTTCGCGGTGAAGAAATCCGATTGGGCGGAGAATATCAGCCAGACGATTGCCGCGCACGATACAGTACAGCTATCATTGTTCCGTATCGGGATCGGCAGGAGCAGCTGGCTGCCTTCCTCAACTACATGCACAATTATCTGCGTCTTCAGCAAATCCATTATCGAATTTTTGTTGTGGAGCAAAGCGATCGCAAACCTTTTAACCGAGCCATGCTCTTCAATATAGGCGCCACAGTGGCGAGCAGCTATGGTTATCCCTGCTTAATACTGCACGATGTTGACCTGATGCCACTCAACTCCGGTCAGCTCTACGCATGCACAACTCTCCCCAGGCATATGAGCTCAGCTCTGGACAACTGGCGCTTCCACTTACCGTACCGCACGCTCTTTGGCGGCGTCGTCGCCATAAGCACTTCCCAGTTCAAAATGATAAACGGCATGTCCAACTTGTATCATGGCTGGGGAGGTGAGGATGATGATTTGTATGAGCGTCTGCATGTACTCAGTATTGAAATCTGTCGGTTTGCTCCGGCGTACAGCGAATATACAATGCTCAAACACAAACAAGAAACACCAAATAAAAACCGGATGGCACTGCTCCGATCTGCCTCACTACGTATGCACACCGATGGTCTCAATTCGTTGGTTTATAAGGAAGTAGAACGTAAAATGCACAGCCTATTTACGCTCATCCTAGTCGAGACATAGCTCTTCGCCAGTCGTAAATACTTGGCTACTGGCTTGGCCCAACTTGTTACTTAGGTTTTATAGGCGTAGGTGAATCTCTGTCACCCCAGCAAATGGCAATTACATGTGTCCATATATGTTTAAGACGCTTTGTTAATTTCCTTGTTGTAAAGTAAACTGGTATATATAGATATATAGTATACAAATAAATAATAACAAATTACACGTTGGTATTTTTCATTGATTATTTGTATATATTTTAACTAATTTGTGTACGCTGAGTTACACTAGGGAGCAAATTGCACAATACACATCTAAATGTAATCTATATTTAATAGGTTTGTTTGACTGTTTGCCTAGACTAACAATAAATTATGTACGTTCACATTTTCGATTGATATTTGTCGAGAAAAAACTTCAAAACATCATACAAATATTAGCTCACACACACGACACATACACACAATTGTACATACACTCATTTATAATTTAGAATATATAATAGATATTTATATATGGATATATAGTGTGGAATGATTATTTAAAACATTTTGGCTATTCGGCTGCATGCAGCTATTGTGATGTGTCTAGTTCAAGAAATTGAGTATGTCCTGTTGAGACAAGGTGTTCAAATTTTTGCTATCCGCAGACTGAGTCATCTGTGGCATCAATGTGGGCGCAGACGTTGTTGTGCCAGTTGTGCCCAGATTCATGGGCTTGCTAAGCCCGAGGTTAGGTTGCATACTGTTCATACTGTTCATACTGTTCATCGAATTGTAGCCCGTCGGGTAGATATAGTTGACAGTGGGCTGCTGCAACGTATACATATTGGCACTATTAGCAGTACTCGCTTTGGCAATCTGGCTGCCGCCACCGCCGGACCCAAACGGATCTAAGTCGTCCAACGAAGAGAAGTTGTTGTTGCTGCTAGCCTGCGGCGAGGCTAGCTGGTGATTCATGACCAACGGATTCGCGCTGTGCCAATTGTTGCTATTGCCACCGCTAGCGCTGTAGGGCATGGTAAGCTGAGCAGGATTAGCTGCTGCTGCTGGCGGACTCTGGACTGTGCTTAAACTGCTTATGTTGCTTTGCATCAAGGAGAACATATCCGTTTTCGGTGCTACCTCTGACGTCGTATTGTGCGATATTCTAAAAAACCCATATGTTTAATTAATTTTCATAGAAATAAGCGTTGATTAAATCATTATCTACTTGAGCTGTTCCCTAGTCTTAACCGGGGCCAGTGCTGGAGCTGCAGACTTTGGCGTTGCAGTACGTGATGGTTGACCCACACTGAATCCGGAGAACATATCATCATCGCTCTTATTGCCATTACTGCCGGCAGGCGACAGCGTGGTGTTGTCCATTTCGTTGGCCAGTATCTCGGCTGCATCCTTCGGTCTATTTTAAATAGTCATATTTATATTATATTGAAATGATCTTGTATTTTAAGCATACTTGTTCTCTCTCTGTATCGTGGCTAACTGCTGCAGTTTTTCACGCTGCTCTTGTTCCACTCTTCCTAGCATTTCCTTGATTAGTGCTACAATCGTATTGAATTGTGCTATGGTCAGTCCGTTCTCCACGCTCAGTGGCACAAGAAAAGGTATGCATTTGTGCGCCATTACGTCCTTTGTAATGCCCAACTTCGTGTTCGTCATGGCGATTTTATAAATACCTGTAATAGGGAGTTTATCAGCTCACATATATAGAAGTAATATAATTAAGTAAATCGGCTTACCTATTATAGCCATTATAATTGCAGGCTCGCGGCTTTGTATTTGCTGCAAAAAGGGCAGAATCTCGTCGAGAACTAGCCACTTGTCCAAATTCTCCAAGAGTTTCCCAATCGATATAAGACAGTTAACCTTAACTGAAACATTGTTGCTGAGTAGACAAAGTTTTTTGATACGCGGAATGACGGAATTTTTCATGGCATTGTAATCAATGAGAGTGGAAAAGGTAGGTAGTACGCCCAAACAGAGCTCCTGTATTTGTGGCATGTCACATTCCAGCGACCGATAGAGCAGCGGCAGCACACTCTGCTTTACCTCCTCCGCCGGCGTTAGCTTGAGCAGTAAATCCATTTTTTGCATGAATATCAAAAGAATCTGTATGGGGTCCGTTAGTTTGAAAATCGGCTTCAGATGTGGTAATATGTGTTCACAATATTCGCGCTGGCTGCTCATTTCGGCGATAAGCAGAACATTCGGCAGAACGAATGGTATCATGGGCGAGTTGACGAACTCCTTTATCAGGTAGGGTAATATCGAGTGCAAGTTTACACGATGTGGGAGAGTTGGTATTATCTGCGGCAAACCCTTGTAGAACTTCGATTTCTGAAGATTGTCCCACTGATAAAGAGAATCCAAATAGCTTAAAGTCTTCACACCGACGTCTTGAAAATACGTAATCGTTTTCAGCTCATGCAGCTTTGGTCGCAAATTTGCGCTGGGATGCAGCAGGGCTTTCACGCTCTCGGTTAGTTCACTTGGTATAGTATTCATTGGCGGGTACTTTCGCTGATTCAGCTCGTTGGCGTACCGCCGAAAGCTACTGTAATCGCTTCCAAACATTTTTAATGGCTTGCCCGAGTGAATAGTGAATATAAGCACACCTAAAATAGAATTATTTATAGATCGAAGTTTATGTTTCATATAAAAGTGTGCTTACCCAATGAGAACAGGTCACTGTCCGGCGTGTTGACACTGTTCAATGCCAACTCTGGTGCTGTATACTCTAAGCTAGGCTGCGCCAGTACATGAAGCGACGTGCTATACTCTTTGCATGGCCAGTGAGGTGTGCCATTTGATGCTGGCTGATTGGCTATGCAGAAGTCAAATCCAAACAGCTTCCAGCTACGGTTCTTGTTGATCACAATCGTTTCGGCGCTGATATTGCGATGCACAATCTTAGCATCGTTGTGCAGAAATTGCAGCCCATCAAATAGTTGTAGCAGACCGTGTCGTATCTCTACATCGTAGAGTTTCTTCTCCGAGCGCACTGAGTCACCAACTACATTGGCGAGGGATGCAAACACAGGTTCTGTGGCAAAGGCCAATGAGTCCCGACTCTCCTCCAACGGATGCTGAACGGTGAGCACATGTGGATGTCGAATTTTCGTTAGTTGCTGGACGCCCCGGCGCAACGTCTCGAGCATTGTCTCTCGGTCGTCTTTGGACCAGCGTTCCAGCACTTTTTTCTCAAAAACAAATACAGAGACTTCTTGCTTGGTGCTTTTCTTGTGGCCACTGTAAACCTTCCACATCAGTCCTGAGTAATAAAAATATTGTTAACTGGTTGACTGAATGCGCATATGTTAGCGAATTTTATTGCATCTCACCCACACCCGCTGTGCATATCTGATCCAACACTTCATACTCCCGAGTAACATTATTTCCAGGCAACACGCCTGAAAGCTGCGAAACGGTTTGCACGGCGGACGAGTAGAATTTATTAATCACATCCATGCTTGTTGCCTATAATGATAACGGCAAAATACTTTAGCAGCTTTGCAATAAACCAAAATGCTATTGCCAAATTCTTTTTGTTTTAGTAATCAATAGAGTTAGTTCACAAAAGAACCAGCTCGTTCATTCGTGCTCCTCGATTACAGCGCACTGTTATCGACCAATTATTGGGAATAATCGAACTGCACTTTTCAACTTAAGCGCACTTTTTCAAATAGACATAATAATAATAATAATAATGGTTTGAACTCCAATGAGATCAATCCATATACTATGTTTACTTATTTTCATATTAATAACTAATTCTGTCTATTTGGCAAATCTAGTATGGGAAATCTTTGTAAGCGCCGTAGGCTTTTATTTGAATGCCCATAATTTTAATTGTAACTTAATAAGTAAGTTACATTAACATTAATTTAACGTTAACGTTAATACACCCACACCCACAAACCCGCACATACAGACATACGCACGCACGCATAAACATGCATTGGCTGCAGTGGGAACTTAATTGTTGAATAACTTTTCTTGTGGATGGACTATCTTCATAAAACTTTTAGATTATGAATATAATAGAGATATGCATGTATTTGCCAAGCACAAATCTATAGTGAAATACGCTTTTTAAAATATGTGGATAAGGGGTGGATATAGGGGTGGGGGTTAATTTAGTTAAAAAAAAAAAAAACTAATCTAAATTTAAAATTTGGAGACTCTAGCTTTAAAGATGTAGGAGATATAAAATTATTACTGGTTTTTGATAATGTTTTTAACCGATAACAAAATAGCGGGACAAGTTATCGATCGAGTCTCTAGATATATCTTCTGAGATCGACGCGTTAAAAAATACGGACAGGCGGACAGACGGACACACGGACAGGGATAAATCGACTCAGCTTGTACCTTCTGCCTGTTACATACCCTTAACAAAAAAATTATACCCTGATTTCTCATTTTCAATGGGTTTCGGGTTATATACGATAAATGGGCACGTACAAATCGAATAGCCGAGGATTTTAATATAAAACTAAATATATAATTATAATAATAACTATTCGAAACACTGAAGTATTTATATTAAGTCTTCAATAAATGAAAAGTATATTTTTATCTCAGCGGTTCGCTGCTTTGAAAATATAAATGTTAGAATTAGTAAATAGTCTCCAGTTGGAAATTGATTAGGAAGTTTCTCGATGATAGGATAAAAATCTCTTAGACGCTGATGACCCTGGTAATACAAAATGAAAAGAGAAGAAAACTGAAATTAAACAAGCCACTATAGATCTGTTTTTACTTACTTCGTATGGACACGTATGATTAATTGTTGAAAACTCTTTAAAGAATCCATAAATCATTTTAATAGCGGGATTATTGGGTTTTCTTAAATATTTACAGGCATCAAATGAAACATCGATAAGCCAAGGTTTGTAGCCGTTTCCCTTTTTCTGGATTTGCACTCTAACGTCGACCATATTTACCGGATGTAAGACATCCACATCAATGTTTAAAATGGTTCTGTTCCGTTGCACAGCCTTCAATCGGCACTGATTCATAATAACCCAGGACTTGTTATACGAAATGCAGACGGCATTTGTCATTTTAATAGAAGCACCATTCTGGAAAAAGATGAATCAATATTTAGTTGCGGTTTAACAATCCTAATATAATTACATTATAATTTGTGTTCAACATCAGTAACACAATTGATGTAAGCAAACAATTCCAATAAATTCTCCACATGATTTTAAAGTAAACTACTGGAATATGTAAATAGCTAATCACACTCTAATCATGACGCCTACAATAACTTTCATTTTTATACTGCGAGTCCATAGCAAATGAGGTATAATGGTTTTTTAAAATAAATAATAATTATGATTGAAAAAGATAAAATAGCCTAGACCCTTTAGTCAGTAGTTTATGCGAATGCGGTAGCTTCAGCTATACAGAATTTGAAACATTATTAAAACAGGAATCCGCTTTGAGTCTAGTCGGAGATACAGAACAATAAAATTCCAGAAAGTGTATATAAAATTAATTAAATAATTCAATTTTTTTTTTTGTACTCAAATATTTCAATGTAATTATTTTCTCATGTTATGCTTCAGTAGACTGAAAACAACAATATAATTGGATGCTATGAGTACGAAATTCAATTTTGACGATCATGGGAGATATCATCACCAAATGCAATAATAATAAAAATTTTCTTTGATTTTGTTGGTAGGTATTATTAAAGATACTTTTGGAATAAATCTTGAGATATATTCCAAACGGATTCAATTTGGTAGGCTCTATTAAAGTTAATATTAGTATATCTTTGAGATATTTCAAGAGATCATTGCTTTCATTCAGAGTCGCAGCTGCTCGATTACGAGAATCCTTTTCTGCTTACGCAAAAATACCCACGCGCACACACACAGACACGCATAGCACGTACGCATTAATACGCAATAGCCGCAGTGTGGGCTTTCTATTTATTAAAAACAAATCGAAATCCTATAAATTAAACACGATTGTATGTTTTTTAAATCGATAACAATATAACAAACTCGATTTGCGTGCTGTATATACGGATTTACCAATTACAGTCCTTAGCTCTTAAATATTCTGAGATCGACGCGCTCATACATAATTGAGACAGTCAGGCGGGCAGGGCTAAATCGACTTAGCTCAATAATATGACTACTTTGTTATAGGCATACTGTTACTCAACCTTCTGTCAATTACATACATTTCAAGAAACCCATTCTACTCTGATTTCCAATATTAATTGGTTCAGGAAATACAAAAAAATAAAAATAAAATAAAATAAACAAAAGATAAATAATAACATTGCAATTTATATGCTTAATTTGGAATTTTTATTAATGTACTGCAATATTTATAAAATGTCTTCTACATATGAAAAGTAAACATTAACATCAAAAGTTCGTTTCTTTAAAAAGTTAAAGGCGAAAATAAATAAATAGTCACCAGTTGGAAATGGGATGGGAAATTTATCGATGTTTGGATAAAATTTTGTGATTCCCTGATGGCCCTGCAAAAAAAAAAAAAAAAAAAAAAAAAAAAAATCAACAAAATTAAACTAAACTCTTTAAATATGTTGTATTTACCTACATCATATGGACATGTGTGATTGATTGTGGTATACTCTTTAAAGATTGAAAAAATTGTTTTAACAGCGGGATTATTGGGCCTCCGCATATACTTGCAGGCATCAAATGAAATATCGAAAAGCCAAGGCTTGTAACCGTTTCCCTTTCTTAAAATTTGAATCCTCACATCGATATCATTAACCGGATGAATAAAATCCATATCAACATTGAGGATCGTTTTGTTCCGTTGCAGGGCCTTCAATCGGCATTGAGTTATGACCACCCAGGATTTGTTATAGGAATTGCAGACTGCATTTGTCATTTTAATAGAAGCACCATACTGGAAAGGCTAGAATGTATATTTGGTTATAGTTAAACATACTTATTTCAATTACATTATAATTTATGTATAATGTAAGCAGCGAACTTGACAACAGCAAACACTTCCAATCAATTGTATGCATGATTTTTGCAGTAATATATAATAAAACACTGGTCAATGTCGATAGCTAAGCACGTTATGCTAACAATTTCCTTTTATACCGTGGATTTACTGAAGGCTAATCGGAATTTAATGGTCTTGTGGAAATGTATGTTCGATTGAATCTATAATCTCTTTCAATACAAGATGAACGGTGAGTGAACCGAACCATGTATTCCAGTGCTTTCTCCCGACTGTCCATCCTTTCGGGTGCAAATATGAATAAGCTACAAGCTTAACAGTTTAAGCATTATATCATTAGCAAGAGCGAATTTCATACCAAGGAAAAATCAATAGGTCCTCATCAAGGTACAATACTCTTCAGGGAATCTACTCGTCGAACAGCCAGAGCTGAGTCATAAGTCATAAGTCATAATTGAATTTAGAATATATTTATGCATTAGTTGCGCTTCAGTAAATAGTTTGAAATAGGCAGTTAAACTATAGATCTAGATCTATATATTTGTTTATATTGGTACTGAATTTTTATACCCTAACCAATTGATAATGGGAGTTGTATGAATGTAATGAGCGGATGAACAAGCTGAGCCGATTTAGTACGTATAGTACAGAGCCTATAAGACCTAGAGGTTTTTGTAGGCCCTTGTATAGTAGCAGCAGATCGAGTATGCTTCTAACAATCGGTGATATTCCCGTATATTTTCCCATAAATTTTCCCTATTTACACGAGAGTCTTATAACCCTTTCATTTAGTAAGACAACATATGGATATCTATTTGGGATTGCCTCCCTTTATATGCTATATTTTGCTTTGTTCTTATTGCACTCGGATAGTAATGCAATGTATTGTAAATAAGCATTTCAAAAGTGAATATACCCAATTTATCTAATTTGTACAGAGAACATCTGTTTTTCTTCGAAATGCAATGTAAATATTCAATAAAGTAGCAATTTGTGCAATCAAGTATAAGCACAATGTTTGCTCATTTCATCTATAAGCAAATATTTTGAACTTTGCTTTAAAACTGTAAAGTAAACAAGAAATTTGTGATGCATTTTAGAAATCCTAAAAAAAATCAAATTGTCATGTATTGAACAAAAAGTGCAAGCGTAAGAAATATCATTCGCAATATTGCAAATATATAATTAATGTAAATTATTTTGTTGAAGAACATATTATTGTTGTACAATTTTTGTACTATTCTATTAGCCTTGGGGCTAGTCTTATAATTTGTCAAACGGTAACTATCTTGCCATCCAACGCTTGAATAAGCTTGAAATATATTTGTTTACGCGCTTAAATGAATAGTTATCGAGATATTTGCACCTGCACAGGGGCAACACACGCGAAGCAGTTCAATAAATAAAACACTCGAATGCATTTAGAAAAATCGCATTTGCGGCTTTATTGGTGGCTGCCACACAAACACACACACACACACATATATATACGTATAAACAGGCAGGAGCACGCATACGCTCACACACAAGTATTCACACACACACATGCATATACACAACAGCATTTCGAAGCTTAGCCTGGCTCTGAGCGCCTGGTGAAAGATGGCATTGCCACGAAATGCAGTCGAGTTGTTTACGCGATTTGTAGCTGTGGCCCATGCTGAACTCGTCCGGAATTTCAATGGATTTTGTGTGCGGACGCTTTGGACAAGTGCGGGTAATTTTTGCGTTCTATCATGACAGGTATTTTTATATGGAGGGAATTAAAGTCGTACGCCGCACGGCTGATGTGTTGAGTCATAAAATAAATCAGAGAGCTTGACAGAAGCGTCGATGTTAAATCACGCCAATGGCATATCGAGGGTTTCAGACAATTGAACCACCCCGTTTCCCATTTCGTAGTACCCATATCTATGTATTGCCACTACTCACACACACAAACACACACACAATTCGACAATAGCAATTACCTCTGAGAAATGTTGCTAATTTCGATATTGACTTTTATATGATTCTCTATTTTGTTTGTGTACGTTTTGTACATTCGGTTGTCTGGGCTCGGCTTCGGCTTGGTATTCCACAGACACCATGACTGGCCGAAAAAAAATAATGTTATTCATCATAATTACAGGTAATAGGCAAGTGTGCTTAGCACAAGAGCCAACTTGGGTGGTAATGGGGATATGCGAAATGAAGCTAGTTAAATTCGAGGCACAACACGTGCTTTGGCTTTACTTATCACTCAAATAGTGCGACTTTATCATGCAAATACCTTTAATTGAACGCGGAGGAAAAATGGGAATTTAATTTGTTTATGTACCTAACGTTGAATTCGGAATGAATAATGTTTTATGTTATTGTGATCAATGTTTATAAATCTGCTTTAGTCTGAAGCTCTAAATTAGTTTTCCTTATGATGAAGGTTTTTAACATACAAACGGCAATGTTTAATAAATGTTTAGTTAAATTTGATATGCCTTGCTCTTTATCAATTATTAAGAGGTTAAAGTCGCTGGCAAAGGACAATCGTAGTCCTCTACGTATAATATAGACGAAACATATGAATAAGAATGGATAGGGAAAAGAGTGGACAATAGTTATGTAGGATATACCGTATCCTATACGGGACATAGAGGATTGAGGATAGAGAGCGGAGGATAAAGAGTAAAGGATAGAGGATTGAGGATAGGGGATATAGGAAAAACGATAGAGGACGCTGTCCGCTAATAGAACATTGTGGATAGAGGATAGACGATAGAGTATAATGAATATAGGATAAAGTATAAAGGATCCTGGATAGAAGATAGAGGGTAGGCGACAAAGGATGGCGCAAAGTAAAGTTGAGTAAAGAGAGAATAAAAATATATTTTAGAGGATTGAGAGCAGAAAATGCAGAGGTAAATGTTTGAGAAGAGGAGAGTGTTGCCATGGATACATGGGTCTTTATTATTGGCAATTTATTTATTATTGTTATTAGCACTTTTGCATAACGGACCGATGTTCGAGTCATACATATATAATATATAATATGAGTGTCTATTTTTATGCTTGCTTTCTTACACACATCATTAAAGCACAATCAGTAGCTTGTGAAGCGTCTTGAATAATTCCGTCTTTTGTTTGCTTATATGTATATTCTGTATGCATATATGTATTTCAGTTAATAGATTTTAGTTTTTTTTGTGCGAAAAGATATAAAAGCAAGATACAGATGCAAACAGCGCAACAAACACGCTGGCAATTACGTGATTGATGGCTGCGCCACGATTAAAGTTCTGAGAGTGAGTGTACTGTAGAATATTCACTTTTGTCGTCTACAGATTGGCAAGAAAAATAAAACAAAAGGGGAAAATTACTGAACTGGTAGATTTATGAGCGAACAACTCCAAACGACGTCTCGGGCGGACAATGCAGGCATACCAATTAGGATCAATTGACGGATGTGAACTGGACAATGGGCAGCGATGATTCAATCGCTCCACAGGCTCAACTTGGCGTTCTCCCTGCTGCGTGTTAAACCAAAAAAGAAGCTAGCGACAAGATAGGTAGGATATCAAGCTGACGGGAGCTCGAAATCCGTGTATAAAGTCAATACACCTCTATTAATTTGAAAAAAAAAAAAAAATAAATAATAATAATAATAATAAATA